ACCCGCGAGCTCAGGCAATCCACTCACCTCAGCCTCCCAAAGGCACGGGATTACAGGCTGAGCCACCGGGCCCAGCTAATGTTTGACTTTAAACACTAAAGAGCATAATAGTGAGATGGAATTAGACTTACTGTTTTCATAATATTGCTAAATGAATTATAACAACTGACAAAAGTTTAGTGGTAAGTACTCAAAACAGCCTCCAAATCTTCTGTTTCGGTACATGACTGGGCATATCCTTATCACCATGTAGTTTTTTTTTTTCCTCCTAGCTGATCCCATCTCTCCTGACAATTAGACCCTACTGAAGTCCTATTTAGTTTTTTTAAAAAATTACTATTCATCCAGGCTTAAAATATCAATTATCTTTGATTTATTCCTCACAGTTACTTTCTGTGTCCACTTAATATTTCAAGTTTTAAGGTCTATCCTCTGTAAACCTTCTTGAATCTTCTCTCTCCTGTCTGTGCCAACTCCTAATAATCCAGTTTCATTTCTAATTTCTAACCCCTGAATTGTTATAATAGCCTTTATGTAATTCTTTGCCTCTAGTATTTCTCTGTGCCAATCTATTAATTATGTTTAATACCAGCTTCTTTTTTTCTTTCTAAAGCACACAGCTTTATTCATGACATTATCTTGTTCAGAAACTTTCTTTGGTCCCTGTTGCTTATTAATTAATTAAATGGAGACACAGACTGGCTCTCTAGTCCCTTTAAAAGATGGTCTTATTTCTTAACGTTAAGTTTCTAGGCATGTCATGTTTAACTGAAACATAACTTTCCCAAGTATTTGTTTATTCTCCTTTTCTTCTCCTTTTGGAAAGAACTTCGAACTGAACCAGCAGGTTCTTCCACTTGTTTGCAATTATCAAAATATTTCTCCTTGTAAGTCTTGCGTTAGAGTCTACTTTCTTGATGAAAACTTTCCAAGATGCCCTGACTCAAAAAAGAACTCATTTGGCAAGAATTCTGAATCTGCATAATAGGCTTTTTTTGTACCTTTTAAAGATATATTTTATTTATTATTATAGTTTTTTCTCTCCTCCATTTTTTTTCCTAGAGTTTAACTATTTTGAATCATCTTTATATCCTGTATAACACCTTTCTTTGCTCACCTTTGTATCCTCTGTAATACCTTTGCTTACTTTTCTGTATTCTGTAGCATCTTTGCTCATTTTTGTATATTCTATAACACTTAGCACACACTGGTATGCAAAAAATGAATGAGCATATATATGCAACCACTGGTAAAAATCATACCGGGAAGGATAAATCAGATAGATGATCAGAGGAGTAATATATTGAGGGGTAAACTTTTTAGAATAACGCAGATAACTTTATATAAAACAGCCAAAATAATTATCAAATTAAAGATGAATACAAAGTTAAAATTCATGTTTTAGGTTTTAACATTTCAAACTTATTGGATATTAAATTAGCCTATTTCTGATCAGTAATAATTTTAATCATCTAATGATATTATGTACTTAATCATAGTTAAATTTATTTAACAAAATATGAAGGAGGATCCAAAAGAAAATCAGAATTATCTTTTGGAGGGCATGACTCTTGTAGTACACTTATAATTGGTTCCTCTGGATCAAATAGTCAACCAAAGTTTTTATCTGGAAGTTTTGAGAAGGTTGCATCACAGTTTGCGGAAGAAGCATGCCAAGTTGTGGCAAATAAGTGACTGGTTTTACTATCATAACTGCACCTGCTCACACCACACTGAGTGTTTGGTAGTTTTTGACCAAAAACAGCATGACCCCAGTGCCCCTCCCTCCCTCTTCACCTGTTTCGCCCCCAGTGACTTGTTTGTTTCCTAGGATGAAAAATAACGCAAAGGGAAATGTTTTGCTAATGTGGAAGAGGTGAAACAAAAAACAGCAGCAACACTAAAAGGCATTAAAGTCGATGAGTTCAAAAACTGTTTTGAGCAGTGACAAAAGAGTTTCAATAGGTGTATAGCATCAAACAGAGAGTACTTTGAGGGTGACTGAAGTATAAACATGTAAGAATAAATACACAAGTTTTTATAAATAAATTCCAGTTTTGCGGGGCCTCTCATATAATAATTAATGTATTAATTTTTATTTTACTTGTTTTCTGCCCTTACTACTTTGTAATCTGGTTGATTATAATTTTAGCTATGAGAATAATTTTACCATATTTTTTCCTAACAATACTAGTTAACTGATACCTTTTGTGTTTTACATGAGATTTTACATAAATGTTAGTAGCCTCTTCCAAAGTCTATTTAAGAATTTAAAGCACATGAGAATCTGAAACAAAGTAGAAACATGCTTGTTTTGTGAATCTAGCGTCACTAAAATTTAGTTCACAGAATACTAATGAGGTTATTTATCTACATACAACAATGTCATTTTTAAGGTTATGTTACTGAAGACCAGAAGTTCAGTTGGGGTCCTGTTGCTTGTCACACAGAAAGCCAATCACTGAGATGAGTATTGCCAGGGAAGAAGGCTTTCTATTGGGGTTATATCAACCAAAGAAAACAGAAGGCTCATTCTCAAACCCATCTCTGTCTTACTGAAGTCAGGGGTTTATATAGTGGATTAGGAATGTAGAAAATAGGAATTTGGGAGGGTTAAGGAAGAGAAGTTGGAACACAGGTGGGATCTGACATCTCATTGTCTGGAGGGGTTGATTTGGTAAATTTCTGTCTCTCCATAGGATAGGCCACAGGGTTGGTTTCCTGAGAAAGGTACTCATAGAAGACAAAGTTTCAATCTTTAAGATTAGGAAGGTCAACTTTTATGTCTGTTTAAAAAAAAGCTGGCAACCATTAATTTTATGGCGAAGTGAGCCTATTTTAGTTATAAAGATTTTATAGTTTAAATTAAATGTACAATACTATTGTATTTTTAGTTAGTACTTAAGACTTAAATATTTTTTAAAGTATGGACACAATATTTTTATTGTATATATTTAAGGTATTAAATATGATGAAATAGTATCATGGTTACTGTAGTCAAACAAATTAATAAATCCATCATCTTAGTTACTCTGTATAGGAAAGGGTAGGGAAACAAGGACACCTAAAATCTACTCTCTTAGCAAATATCCCAAATATACTACAATATTATTAATGATAGTCCCTTTGTCCTGCATTATATCTCTTGACTTACTCATTATGCATATCTACAACTTTGTACTATGACCTACATTTCCCCATTGCCTCCCCACATCATGCTGGCTCTTATGACCACTGTTTTCTCAATTTGTATGGATTTGACTTTTTTGTTTTTAGATTCTACATATAAGTGAGAACATGCAGTATTTTTCTGTGTTTGGCTTATTTCACTTATCATAATATCCTCTAGGTTCATCTATATTGTGGGAAATGGCAGGATCTTTTATTTTTACAGTTGAATAATATTCTTTGTGTATATATATATCACAGTTACCTTATTCATTCAGCCATCAATGGATACTTAGGATGTTTTCAATCTTGGTTATTATAAATACTGCTGCAGAGAACATAGGAGAGCAGATTATCTTTATGAGGTGGTGATTTCATTTCCTTTGGGTATATTTCTGTTTATGTTATATTACAAAAAATATTACAAATGTCAGATTTATAGTAGTGGAAGCACAACTGGAAAAAATATGAAAATTTAATTGCACATGTTATTTGCCACATATAGTAATATACAAGTTTTTTTGTTTTTAAATCTTCTCTTTTATTGAGGCAAAATATAAAGTTACCATCTTTATTATTTTTAAGTGTACATTTCACTGGTAATAAATTCATATTCTTAACTTTTATCCCTTTATACTCCCCCTTTTCTGCTGTCCCCTTACCCTTCCCAGCTTCTTGTAATCACCATTCTACTCTCTATCTTCATGATACCCACGTTTTTAGCTCCCATATATGAGTCAGGACATAGGATAGTTATCTTTCTATGCTTGGATTATTTCATTTTACATAGTGGCCTCCACATGCAATCATGTTGCTTCAAATGATAGGATGTCATTCTTTCTTATTGCCAGATAATATTTCATTGTGTATATATGCCATGTTTTCTTTATCCATTTACCTGTTAACAGGCACTTAGGTTGAGTCCATATTTTTGTTACTGTTAATAATGCTGCAGTAAACATGAGACTGTAGATACCTCTGATATATTGCTTTCCTTTCTTTTCATTATATACCCCATAGTGGAATTGCTAGATCATATGGTAGTTCTGTTTTTACCTTTTTGAGGAACCTCCATACTGTTCTTTATAGTGGCTGTACTAATTTACATTCCCACCAGAAGTATATGAGAGTTTCTCTTTCTCCGAATCTTCACCACCAACTGTTATTGCCTGTCTTTTTGATACAAGCCATTTTAACTGGGATAAGATGATATCTTATTGTGGTTTTGATTTGAATTTCTCTGATGATTAGTGATGTTGAACATTTTTTCATATACCTGTTGTCCATGTAATGGTTTTATATAAACCACTTTTGTATTTAGGAAAAGGTTCAGAAAAAAAGTTACAGGAAACTGAAGACTACTTTTGTTAATGTTACTTCTGAATGCCCATTGTAAGTAATTTTTTACATCTTTTTGTTTTCATCATGTTTTATGAAACTAAATGTATTTATTGTGTAACAGAGTTAATTTCATCTTCATTTTCACAGGAATGATGTTTACAACTTTAATTTGAATGGAGCTGATGAACCTATTATAAAACTTGGAGTAAGCTAGAAATCAATAGATATTTTGTATTTAGTTATACAGTAGTTATTTTGTATTTACCATGCAGTTATTGGAGTGTATGTTTTTGATGTGCATCTTTTTAAATACTTAAAAGAAATTTAAATATGTAATAATTTTTTGTCTAACCAACCAAGATATATTTAGGTTTCTTCAACTCTTTTGGAAAAAGGTAGAGAAAAATGAGTAATTGGGGGACAGGAGGATTTAACTACTCAAAAAAGAAAATCACTTTTCTTATAGATGCCATAATTTAAAACAAATACACTACTTTGTTTTCAGTATATTTTGTTGTACTAGCACTCTTCTTAAATAAAAATACAGTAACTTTATTTTCAAATCTTACATTTCTATGAAGTGATAGAAGCTATATTTTCTGCTTTTTAAAAAAATCTTTGTTTTCTTGATACTAAACTTAGAACTCTTTCTTTAAATATTTATTCACAATATAGATCCAAGAATTTCAAGCTACAGCTACAGAAGCCTGCATGGATAATTCAGTAAAATTGTAGGTGCTTTTATTATAATTGTATTATAGTTATAATTTTATTATAATTTTAAATGATAATTTATTGCAATTGGGTCAGACTGAAACACTCTACCTCCATTTGTTTCCTTAAATATCTCCTCCTAGTCTGAGAATTTTTAACATATGAGAAGAGTGAATAAAAAAAGCTGGGCTCGGTGGCTCAGCCTATAATCCCGTGCCTTTGGGAGGCTGAGGTGAGTGGATTGCCTGAGCCCGCGGGTTCAAGACCCGCCTGGGCAACTTGGCGAGACCTCATCTCCAAAATAAATTTTAAAAACTAGGCGGGCGTGGTAGTGCGCGCCTGTAGTTCCAGCTACTTGGAAGGCTGAGGCGGAAGGATCACCGGAGCCCAGCAGGTCGAGGCTGCGGTGGCCGGGAGTGGCCACTGCACTCAGTCTGGGCGACCGAGTGAGACTCCAACTCAAAAAAAAAAAAAAAAAAGTGCAACTGTCATGATCACTGTTGTTATGATTCGGTTACTTCAGCATTTTTTAAATTAATTTGCAGATTATCTTCACTTTGAATGTTAGTTGTATATCTACAGATCATAAAACTGAGAAGATACAGTTCTTTAACTCAACATTGTTATTTTATAACTGAGGTCAGAAAAGATAAGTGGCTTGGCCAATTAGTGAAAAAGTTAAGGCTGAAAACTCAGGTCCAGTGCATGCCACCTTAAGAAAACAAGTATGAAGGGTATTTTTAAACTAATACATATTTTTTAAGGGTAGGTTTAAGGAATCATGATGAACTTGAACCTCCTCTCAGTGCAAGAGATAAAAGAGTAAGTCATAATATCTTAATGTGTCTATTAAAACTGTATTTCTTTTAATAATGTATTAACTAACTGGAAAACAAAAATATTTTTGTTTCTCTATGAGATTATCTATGTCCCCTTTATGACTTTTCTTATTGTCTTTGAACTATTTGTAATCGTCTAATAATAGAAGATACGACAACTTTATTGTTTTTGACAGTATTTGGTGATATCTCTGTGGAAAAAAGCTGTTTTGACTTAACTTTAAATTAACAACATCTACACCAAAATACACATCTTACTGTCTGATCTGGATTTTCAAGTGACTCTCTTGAATTGGTCACTAATGTTGTTAATTAGTAATCTTAAAAAATGAAAAGTTAGTTATCCTGTTTGGGTTTTTTTTGTTTAACTTACCCTTCATGACATATAATGAGATGTGTTTTTTCATCTATTTCAAACATCTTTTTTTATAGATTGTAACAAATCACAAAAAGGAAAATCTCTTTAGTGACACTGAAACAGAATACAGATGGGCTGACAACAAGACCGATATTAGCTGGCTAAGAGAACCAAAATCAAAACCACAGCTAATAGACTATAGCAGAAATAAAAATGTGAAGAAACATAGAAGTAGGAGATCAAGTAAGAAATTACTTTTAAGAATAATATTGCAAATGATTTTATCATTTCAATTATATAAAATGCTTTATTGGTTGATAAGTATATTTTTGTAGATAGACTGTAACTATATGCCCTTTGGTTAGAACAAAACATTAGTGTTTATTTTTATTATTCCATTAATATGATTATATTTAAATTACTTTTTTGATACAACTTTAGGCAGGCAAAATATGATGTATCATAATTCTTGACTCATTACATACTCTCATCACTTGTCTACTCATGGCCCACTCTTACTCAGCTATTTAGCCAGTTATTGAGAATAATACTCATACTCATAAATAATAAAACTAAATACTCATGCCCAACACCATTAAAACCAAAGCTTGGACTTTGCCACTAACCTACATCTATTTGCGCGCGCGTGTGTGTGTGTATTTTACTTCTCAATATCCTATCTTTCTCCTCCCCCCAACACATATACTTTTTGGGAATTTATATAGATACAATAAAAATACATAAAAAGAAACCATTTTCTTGAAGTAATTTCTTATTTTTGCCTAAGTCTTCCACCAAGTATTTTTCCAGAATGTGGCTTCTGCTTTCTCTTTATAATAGTAAATCTCTTTATGTATTTGGTAAGAGTTTGAGGTTTAACTTTTACTTAGAGATAATTGCCATTTTTACAGCTGAACATCAATTTCAGTGTTTGCGAAAAAAAAAAGATTTTACATATTGCATTTTAAAAAGAGGATTTAAGACAACTCTATGCTTTTCAATTAAATTTATATTTATTTTAGGGGAGTCAGTTTTTATTTTATTTCAGGATAAAAGCCATTAGTGACCTGTGTGTGTCGTGGGAGTGTGGCTGCAGTGGTGATGGCTTAAAAAAGAAGTAAAAATAGAGAGAACTGAATTAGGGCATGTGTTTAGAAATGAGGCTGAATACTAAAAATAGGTCAAAGGTCAAGCAGATACGTGAGGAAGAAAAGCAGTAGGATTGTTGTATATAAAAGGAACAGTGTGAAATAACATAATGTATTCAAGGAATACAGTATTGAGATAATTGATACATAGATCATATTTGTTGGGAAACAGTGAAAAATGAGACTGGATCTGGTCATAGAGTCTTAACCTTGAAGCAGTGTGTTATAAATCAAGGAGAAACAAGATAAAATTCACACGCCCTCAGACAGCTTACAGTCTGGTGAAAAGATGTACAAATAAAGACATTTGTAACAAAGTAGCAGATTAGAGATCTCACAGAGACATTAAAACACTAATCACTAAATATTAATAAAATTGAACTTATATCTGAATCATTTAAATTGTTGAATGAGTGTACATTAATATGTATGAACCAATTAGAGGACCTTTCTTCCAAAAAACCTTTGCTTCCTTGGCTTGGATAATCTGATTTCTTAGGTTTCAGAGACTTTGTTTTTGAGTCTCTGTCACCCAGGTTGGAGTGCATTGGTAAGATCATGGCTCACTGCTGCCTCTACCTCCTCGGCTCAGGCAATCATTGTGCTTCAGCCACCTGAGGAACTACAGGCACGCGCTGCCATGCTTGGCTAATTTTTTTGATTTTTGGTGACTCGAGATCTTGATATGTTGCCTAGTCTGGTCTCAAACACCTAGGCTTAAGCAATCCTCTTGCCTCAGCCTCGGAAATTGTTGAGATAAAAGGGTATGAGCTACCACGCCTGGCTGCAGAGACTATTTGGAAAGATGACATTATTTCTTAGTTTTTAAAGACTATTTGGAAAGGCAAAAAAGGGGAGAGTGGGACTAAAGCTAATTATTTATCAATAATTTGGATAAATCTTAGAAATATAATGATTTATGGAAAATAAGGCAAATCATGGAATATTACATAGAACATGATATTTTATAAAGCTCATTATACCTTTTAAAGATGCATACCCATGTAATGAAACATTTTTTAAAACAAGTGAAAGAGAAGTGCAGATTTCAGGATAGTGCAGAGGAGATACAAAGGATGGTATAAGAGAACATACGTAAGTAGAGTCAGCATTATCCATAATTTAGTTCTTTTATTGAGTGGTAGATTTATGGGTGTTAGCTTTATAACTTATGTTACATATTCTCTTACAATGTTAAAAATGTTTTATAATATAAAGGAGAGAAAGAGAAATTTGCAATTTATATCATACCAAACATTATACAGTGAAAGATATCCATTCTTGAAACTTAAATTTTAGAATGAGTTTAAAGATATATTCTTTCCCATCAGTGACATAGTATAATCAGGCTGCTACAAAGTTCTAGGGAAGGCAAAGCTTCCAGATCAGCCTGTCGTTGTGAGGTCAGATTCTCCACTAGAAGAGCTGACATTAGGATGTCAGAGGTGGCATAGGAAAGCCCTATATCCTGGTGTTTTGAAGCCACATAGAGGGAAGTTTATTAACAAATGCTAACAAAGATATCTTCGGTTTTTTATGATTTTTTTTTTAAGTTGGAGTCTCACTCTGTCACCCAGGCTAGAGTGCGGTGGCACACTCACGACCACCCCAGTGTCAACCTGCTGGGTTCTGTCTGGCGATCCTTCCGCCTCAGCCTTCCAAGTAGCCAGAACTACAGGCATGCACTACTATGCCCAGCTAATTTTTTATTTATACTAGAGATGAGGTTTCACCAGGTTGCCCAAGCTGGTCTCAAATCCATGGGCTCAGGCAATCCACTTGCCTCAGCCTCCCAAAGTACTGGATTATAGGCTGAGCCACCGAGCCCCGCCATGATTTTTCATTATATATGCAGAAGCC